CAGGTGTTTTCAATACCTGATGGAAAGCACCTGTATGAACCTCTGTTCTTCAGAGTGGTAGTCTTTAAGGGGTTGAATAATTGTGGCAATGAAGAAACCACATAAGAACCATTTACTACTGTATTACATAAACAATTGATGTCATTTTAGTTGCATTTGGGTAGTTACAACGTCCTTGTAGGATTTGATTCTGAATACAATTCCAAATGTACACTATAGTCCCTAAACCCCTTTACAGCATTGGGGGGTTGAATAATTTTGGACACAACTGTATATACAACGCTGCAATGTAGACACCGTCATGAGGCTTGCACTTTCTAGAGTAAACCGGACTCTGTGGTAAATGGAGAAGAAAGAGAAGTGCGCCAGACTAAGTGCAGTATGACTATAAAAGTTTATTGCACACAAGATTATAAAAACTCACAAGAAGTGGGTAGATATCAGGCATCAATATGTAAGGAGGAGGATGTCATCTGTGCTGCACCTCACAAATGGATGGCTGTAATGCCAAGGTGTTGCACGGCTGGCGCTGTAGGCGGGTCCCACAGGAGGAGGCGAGGATGGCAGGCGCAGTAACCGGGAGTCGTGGCGCAGATAAGAACCGGGATCCAGGGCAGGCACTGCTGATCTCTCACATCAGCGTGGGTACAGTAGCCAGCTTGAGACACATCCAAGATGGCCGCAGGAAATGACATCAGGACATTGCTGGGAATCCTCCAAGGGGGCGGTGACACGTTTCTAGGCAACCTGCCTTTTCATCAGACCTGATTGGCTAGTGGGATGAGCCAATAAATAAGGAGAGGAGGAAGGGGTGGGGCAGCTGAGGGGCGGGGGGTAGTGAATTTAAAAAAATGTATAATGCATACAGGCTTAACAAGCAGTGGTGGAAAACATAAGAAATAAACGGTGAGCAGCTGCTTTCTGTAGAACATGTGAAAGATAGGAAGAATAGAAGGAAAGGAAAGGAAAGAAATGGAAAAAAAAAAAAAAAAAAAACGCACGCATGTGGAAGATAAAAGATTACACAGGGAATATTTAATTATAAATGTTATTACTATGATGTGGATTATAAAGGGTAAGATGGGCGGGTAAGAAGGTGGAATATGAAGGGGGGGGGGGGAGACAATCAGGGGAAAAAAAAAAAAAAAAAAAAAACACAAAAAAAACGCATGTAGAAAAAAAAAAAAAAAAAAAAGGAACATACAGGGAATATTTAATTATAAAGATTATTACTATAAGGTGGATTTATGAAGTGTAAGATGGGCAGATAAGAAGGTAGAATATGAAGGAAGGGGAGGGGGGAGGGGAACAAGGGGAGGGGAGCAATGAGGGGAAAAAAAAAAAAAGAAAAGGAAATGGTGGGAATGAAAGTATATGCTATAAAAAATAAATAATAAAAAGATAAAAAGATATGAAGATTTAAAAAAATGTTTTTTTTAAAAAAAATTAAATAAACGTGTGTATCTCAATCTCTTCATTGAGGCCCCTAGGTGCAAGGGTATCTAAAGTAAAAATCCAATAGGTCTCCTGTTGGCATAATAATTTGAAACGTTCAACTGGGGGGAGATGGTCTGGTATAGCCTCAATGACCCATACTTGTAGATGGAGAGAGGATTTGGAATGAAACTCTGAAAAATGGCGGGGAACACTGTATTTGGTAATGCCGTCATCAACTGACCTCCGGTGCTCTCCAAATCTTTTTCGCAGTGTTCTAATGGTACGTCCCACATATAAAAGGCCGCACGGGCAGGACAAACAATAAATTACCTATGTGGAAGAGCAATTATAAAAGGCTTGGAGGGGATAGACTTTTCCATTAATAGTAAAATTTTGTTGGCCATGCTTCACATGGGCACACGTGAGGCAGAGCGGCTTATTGCAGCGGAACATCCCAGTAAGTGGGATTAGTACCGGTCTATTGTGAATAGGAGGGGATTTCAGGGGGGGAATTTTACTAGGTGCAATTTTATTCTTAATGTTAATTGCTCTTCTATATACAAATGTGGGGGTAGGAGGCATAATCATTTTAAGGTGTGGATCTTGATGTAAGATAGGCCAGTGTTTCTTCAGGATGGATTCCATTTTGTGATGTTTAGAATGGAACTGTGTAATGAAACGGATATTGTTGTTGTTCGATGATTGCGGCTTAGGTGGGGGGATCGTGTCTGATAAGTAGGTGAGATATGCTTGTTCCACTAACTCAGAGGGATATCCTTTTTCTGTAAATTTTTGTTTTAATTCAATGCTTTGGGCTTTGTAGTCCTTAAGTAAGGTACAGTTGCGTCGAAGTCTGCAAAACTGTCCTTTGGGTATATTTTTGAGCCATCTAGGATGATGACAGCTAGTATAATGAAGAAAGGAATTGCCAGCGGTTGGTTTGGTGTAATTTTTAGCTATAATATTAGAGTCCGAGTGGCTAAGTTCCAGATCAAGAAAACTTAGTGAGGTAGGGTCCATAACGTGGGTAAAAGAAAGGTTGAATGGGTTATTGTTACAGTGTTGAATGAAAGATGCAAGAGAAGTGACAGGGCCGTCCCAGATGATGATAATGTCGTCTATATAACGACCATAGAACACCAAATGGGCAGCAAAGATGTTATTACTCCAGACATAGCGATCTTCCCAGAGGCCCATGGTGAGATTGGCATAGCTAGGTGCAAAATTAGCGCCCATGGCTGTGCCTGTTTTTTGTAAATAGAAACTATCATTAAACAAAAAATAGTTGTGCTGGAGGCAGAATTTTGTAGCAGTGAGGATGAAATTAATCTGGCTAGGGTGGAGGGAAGCATCCACAGACAGGAAGTGTAGAACAGCTTCTAGTCCTACATCGTGAGGGATAGAGGTGTATAGGGAACTAACGTCAAGGGAGACCCAGATGTAAGAAGGTTCCCAGGAGTACGCCTCAAGAATTTCCAATAGATGTACACCATCCCGAATATAGGAGGGAAGTGATTGGGCTAGAGGTTGGAGAAAGCTATCAATATAGAGCGAATAGCTGGTGGTAATGCTCTCCATAGCTGCAACTATAGGGCGGCCAGGCGGATGATCAAGGTCTTTATGGATTTTTGGGAGATGATAAAAATATGGAGTTTTTGAATATGTCTCTCCGGAAAAAAGAGGCCTCTGATTTAGAGAGGATTCCTTCCTGGGTGGCAATTTTGATGATATCATTCGATTCTAGGATGCATTTAGGAAGAGGGTCCGAGGCTAATTTAAGGTAGGTGTTGGAATCAGACAACAGACGATTGGCTTCATTAAAATAATCGACCTTATCTTGGATGACTATCCCTCCCCCCTTGTCAGCTGTCTTAATGATAATATCAGAGTTATTGCTAAGGGTTTTGAGGGCTAAGAATTCAGAGTGGTTGAGGTTAGATGTAAATTTAGTGTTTTCAGAACAGAGGATTTTGAGATAAGAGTGTACCATTTGAAAAAAAGTCTCTATGTAGGGACCCTTATTATAAGTTGGGTTGAATGTGGATGGGGGTTTTAGATTTGTATGTCTAATACGGGGAGAATCTGGAGGATATTGGGACAGAAGAAAGGTGTCATCTGGGTCTCCGTCAACCCAGAGTTCCATTAGTAAGTCTAGGGCCTGAGGGTCAATTGAAGGATCTCTTTCCACAATGGTGGTATTTGGGGATAGAGATGATGTTTTGGCGTTCTTAAGGGCCTGTAGCTGAAAATGTCTTTTGAGAGTAAGATTGCGGGTGAATTTATTGAGGTCTTTGAATAGGGTAAAAGGATTAGGTGTAGTAGTCGGTGCAAAATTGAGGCCTCTTTTTATTAGTGACAGTTCACTATCTGTTAATGTGATGGATGAAAGGTTATAAACTTTTATAGTTTCCTGATTTCCCCTTTTCTATATTTCCCTTGTCTATATAAAGTATTAAATAATAGTCTTAGACCCCCATATACAGATTGAATAGGAGATCCATACAGAGTAGTGGATCAATGTTAGAGTTGGCATTGTATAAGTACTACTCCTATCTGCATCCCCTATTGGGGTTAGACAGATTCATTTTTATTTAGTTATTTATAGAAGAGATCTCTTTAATAATCTACTCTCATTTTAGCCTCTAAGGATAAAAAAAATAGGATTAGTTGTGTCCCCTTTCCATACTTACATATCCCTGTCAAAATAATTGTTAAATACTAGATTTACACCAACGGGTTTAAATAGGGGATCCCTAGTACCTGTGGTGGATTTTTGGATTATTGTTTTAATTTTAAATTTTATGGTTTTTAGTTCTTCTTATGTTTTTTAAGTGTTATTCAATTGTCATTTAGTTGACAGTAGATTGAATGTCATTTTAATATGCACCGATTTTTGAATAAAAATGGTTATATTGTTAGCTCTAATATCACGGAGGGTACTATGGGATAGCTGACCAGTGTATTGAGCCTGTTAATATAATCCGATCTGATATTGTAACAATACCTGGTTAATCACTCTATATCCAATATACATGATAGGCCATATTCCCAGAGCCGCCCAATCAATCTCTTTTGGTCTATTGATTGGTAACGAATCAGAAGCCAGTTACACCTATTTAATCCACCTGGATATGGCGGTCATCACTTCCTGAAGATGCCGCTGGGCGAAATGTACATTGAAGTCTCACAGCGTCACTTCTGGGTCCAGAAACGTCCAGGCTGAGTGGAAACACTTGTCGCCATCTTAGATTCACACAAGCTGAAAACACTGGTGCCGGTTTTTAGGCACCTTACTATGTGAGTGCAATAGCATTTGTTTATACAATCCTTTGCTCATTTAATAAAATATTGCACTTAGAAGGTATTTCACTTGTTTGATTTATCTGAATGGTCCAGCACTATTACCGTGGGAGGATTATCTATATCAAACATCATAAATATTGGAGGCATGCTGGGAGTCCATATTCCTTAGTATATGGTCACAGAGAATTGCTGGAGGGAGATATCATTTTAAGAGGATGGTCTCCTATATGACCAAAAGAGCATCTGATCACTTTAATTGGGGTCAAAAGATCTGATGAGTGAGCAGGTGCGGACAGACCATTTGGAAACTCGGGCACTGCCCGAGGGCCGGGGGTCAGTAGGGGGCCCCATGAGATGCCCCTGGTACCTTTTTCATAGGCTTTTTTGAGTTTGGGCAAGGACACCGGGGTCCCATGATCCCCTATTGCCCGGGGGCCCCATGAGTTGTCAATCCACCCCTGTGAGTGAGCAATCTTTACTTCTTCCCTGTTGGCACGTGGTGAAGATTCAAGTCACTCTTTCCTGGTTTGGTTTGGGTCACTGTTATAAGAAGCCACAAGGACTGTCACTTTATCTTATGGACTTATATTTGTATTTACTTGATACACTTGTGTTGATATTCGCATAAAGTATGGAAATATAGTTTGCACATTGATATATTTATGAAAATTTCAATGGTTCTAATATAGGGACACATAGAGATATTAGTCCCCCATCAATTGCACATTATTTCACTTCTTTGTAATTGTCTATGTAGCGCATACATTAACAGGGGTTCTAATCTTCTTTACTAAACAAAAAATATTTATGTCTATGTTGCTGTTTTAAATTTACCTCACTGCTGTCTTGTGAAATTGTTGGCAGTCAGACAGTAAAGTTGGCCATGGACGGTTATTTTTTTTACATTGAATAGTGTTGGCCAGCTTTAGTGAAGAAAATGCTTTTTAAACAATTTTAACTCAATCCTTCCCAACGCTAACAAAAATTCATTAAAAAACCTATACATACACTGTAACCAATTGTACTTGTACTGTGGACAGGCGGCACCTACAGGCAGAGTGATGTACTTCTACATCCGTCTAGCTGTACTAACATAGGGGGGGTGCCGAGCACCCCCGCGACCTCTGTGGATGCTGGTAATAGGGATCTGGTGATCATGTGATCGCTGTGCAACTATATGATCAAAATGTTAGCAAAGCTGTTATGAATCAAGCTGATTAATAACAGCTCTGCTTCTCTTCCTGGTGAGCTGTGACTGGCCCACAGCTCTCACATGGCACATGGGCCAATCACTGCACCCTGTACCATGTGATTAGTTGTAGCCAATCACAGATCACTAGTATTTTGAACTGCCATGAACTTAACCCATTCATGACAGTTCAAAGCAAGCTTTGCATTGCAGGAGCAAAAGTCTTTACTGCTCTTGCAATGCAAAGTGTAAATAAAAAAATACCTGATCACCCCCCAGAGTAAAACAATGTTAGTATGGTAAAATTGAACTACTCTGATGAAAGAAAATTTTTTTAATGGTAAAATGTAAAAATTAAAAATAATGTTTACATTTTTTTTATTAAAATATCGAGAAAATAAAAAAAAATGTAAAGGTTTTTGTTTTACTACTTCCTAACTGCCCATCCACAATATGCGGGCGAGCGATGGCTCTGGGCAAAGTGACATACCCTTACATCGCTTTCTATTTGTGTGTGTCAGCGCGTATGCGCATGCCCCCCAGTTTCAGTCCAGAAAGAGAAGAGAAACACTATGCTGTGAGTAAAAGCACTACATTTTATACATATACGTTAGATCAGCACATTTAACCCTATTAACCCTTTGATCACCCCTGTCACCCAACCAGTGTCATTAGTACAGTGTCAGTATGTAGAATTTTTCACTGTTCACTGTATTGCTGCCAGCTAGTGTTTGATTGCCCGCACACTATCGCACTTACACTATAGGCCGCTGATCACCACCATTACTAGTATAGTGTTTGTATGAATCAATATATTGATCATGAACAGAGCTATACTAGTGCCCCCTTAGTATAGTGTCCCCAAAAACGCAGTGTTAGCAGGATCAGCTCTGTTCACTACCAGCACTAGTGTTTAGCCCCTCCGCTGTTTTTCACTGAAGATTTGTATCAATTGATTGTGGGTCAAAGCAGTTTATACACACAACAATACATCGCTGCCCACCCAAATTCAGCTTTGCCAGACAATTCGCATGGCACCTATCATGGTTTCCATATTTAAAATATTTTTGGGCCTAATCCTCAACTTGGGGATTAAAAAAGAGAATGAAGTGCAGTCATATTGGCAGCACAGTGGCTAAATGGTTAACACTTCCGCCTGGCAGTACTAGGGTTGTTGGTTCAAATCCCAACCATGGCACTACCTGCCTGGAGTTTGCATGTTTCTCTCCTGTGCCTGCGTGGGTTTCCTCTGGGTAATCCGGTTTCCTGCCACACTCCAAAGACATGCTGGTAGGTTAATTGCCTCCTGTCTAAATTGGCCCTAGTATGTGTATGTATGAATGTGAGTTAGGGACCTTAGATTGTACACTCCTTGAGGGTTAGGGACTGATGTGAATGTACAATATACAGTCAGGTCCATAAATATTGGGACATCGACACAATTCTAACATTTTTGGCTTTATACACACCACCACAATAGATTTGAAATGAAACAAACAAGATGTGCTTTAAACTGCAGACTGTCAGCTTTAATTTGAGGGTCTTTACATCCAAATCAGGTGAACGGTGTAGGAATTACAACAGTTTGCATATGTGCCTCCCCCCCACTTGTTAAGGGACCAAAAGTAATGGGACAATTGGCTTCTCAGCTGTTCCATGGCCAGGTGTGTGTTATTCCTTTATTATCCCAATTACAACGAGCAGATAAAAGGTCCAGAGTTCATTTCAAGTGTGCTATTTGCTTTTTGAACCTGTTGCTGTCAACTCTCAAGATGAGATCCACAGAGCTGTCCACATATCAGTGAAGCAAGCCATCATTAGGCTGAAAAAAAAAACAAAACAAACCCATCAGAGAGATAGCAAAAACATTAGGCGTGGCCAAAACAACTGTTTGGAACATTCTTAAAAAGAAGGAACGCACCGGTGAGCTCAGCAACACCAAAAGACCCGGAAGACCACAGAAAAAACAACTGTGGTGGATGATCGAAGAATTCTTTCCCGGGTGAAGAAAACACCCTTCACAACAGTTGGCCAGATCAGAAACACTCTCCAGGAGGTAGCTGTATGTGTGTCAAAGTCCACCAATCAAGAGAAGACTTCACCAGAGTGAATACAGAGGGTTCACCACAAGATGGAAAACCATGGTAAGCCTTAAAAAACAGGAAGGCCAGATTAGAGTTTGCCAAACGACATCTAAAAAAGCCTTCACAGTTCTGGAACAACATCCTATGGACAGAGGAAACCAAGATCAACTTGTACCAGAGTGATGATGGGATGAGAAGAGTATGGAGAAGGAAAGGAACTGCTCATGATCCTAAGCATACCACCTCATCAGTGAAGCATGGTGGTAGTGTCATGGCGTGGGCATGTATGGCTGCCAATGGAACTGGTTCTCTTGTATTTATTGATGATGTGACTGCTGACAAAAGCAGCAGGATGAATTCTGAAGTGTTTCGGGCAATATTATCTGCTCATATTCAGCCAAATGCTTCAGAACTCATTGGACGCCCGCTTTCACAGTGCAGATGGACAATGACCCAAAGCATACTGCAAAAGCAACCAAAGAGTTTTTTAAGGGAAAGAAGTGGAATGTTATGCAATGGCCAAGTCAATCACCGGACCTGAATCCGGTTGAGCATGCATTTCACTTGCTGAAGATAAAAACTGAAGGGAAAATGCCCCAAGAACAAGCAGGAACTGAAGACAGTTGCAGTAGAGGCCTGGCAGAGCACTCACCAGGGATGAAACCCAGCGTCTGTGATGTCTATGCATTCCAAACTTCAGGCTGTAATTGACTGCAAAGGATTTGCAACCAAGTATTAAAAAGTGAAAGTTTGATTTTATGATTATTAATTCTGTCCCATTACTTTTGGTTCCTTAACAAGTGGGAGGCACATATGCAAACTGTTGCAATTCCTACACTGTTCATCTGATTTGGATGTAAATACTCTCAAATTAAAGCTGACAGTCTGCAGTTAAAGCACATTCTTGTTTGTTTCATTTTCAAATCCATAGTGGTGGTGTATAGAGCCAAAAATGTTAGAATTGTGTCGATGTCCCAATATTTATGGACCTGACTGTATACCCATGGCATATGTGAACAATATATCATTTAGGTGATGACTTTAGGTAAAAAAAAAAGTTTTTTGTTATTTTCCAAAATGTGTGGCAAAAAAATTCTTCAATGGATTCAACACACCTCCTCAGCAAATCCTTGTGGTATCTACATTCCAAAAAGGGGTCATTTGGGGATTTTGTACTGCCCTGGCATTTTAGCGCCTCAAGCCACCCTCAAAATGTGATAGGCAGTCAAAAAGTAAAAGCTGCATAAATTCCATACATACACCAAAGTTTTTAGACACTATAAATTTCACACAAAAACCAATTAATTTACATGTATTAGGATTTTCTTTTTACCAAAGACATGTAGCAGAATACATTTTTGGCTTTAAATTATGACTAGATTTGAGTTTATTTCAATATTCTTTATAACAGAAAGTGGAAAATATAGGTTTTATTTTTTGTGTTTTATCGTAAAAAAATAAAAAAACCCAAGTGGAGATCAAATACCACCAAAAGAAAGCTTCTATTTGTGTGAAAAATGGACATAAACTTTGTTTGGGTACAGCGTTGCATGACCACATACAGTCAGGTCCATAATATTGGGACAATCGACACAATTCTAACATTTTTTGGCTCTATACACCGCCACAATGGATTTGAAATGAAACAAACAAATGTGCTTTAACTGCAGACTGTCAGCTTTAATTTGACATTACATCCAAATCAGGTGAACGGTGTAGGAATTACAACAATTTGCATATGCGGACTCCCACTTTGTTAAGGGACCCAAAAGTAATGGGACAGAATAATAATCATAAATCAAAACTTTCACTTTTTAATACTTGGTTGCAAATCCTTTGCAGTCAATTACAGCCTGAAGCCTGGAACGCATAGACATCACCAGAGCCGCTGGGTTTCATCCCTGGTGATGCTCTGCCAGGCCTCTACTGCAACTGTCTTCAGTTCTTGCTTGTTCTTGGGGCATTTTCCCTTCAGTTTTGTCTTCAGCAAGTGAAATGCATGCTCAATCAGATTCAGGTCAGGTGATTGACTTGGCCATTGCATAACATTCCACTTTTTACCCTAAAAAAAACTCTTTGGTTGCTTTTGCAGTATGCTTTGGGTCATTGTCCATCTGCACTGTGAAGCGGCGTCCAATGAGTTGTTGAAGCATTTGGCTGAATATGAGCAGATAATATTGCCCGAAACACTTCAGAATTCATCCTGCTGCTTTTGTCAGCAGTCACATCATCAATAAATACAAGAGAACCAGTTCCA